CTTCTTTTTAATAGAACAAATTTAAGGAATAAATAAAATAAAGTAAGTAGAACCGAAAAAAATCGTTAAAAAACCGTAATTTTTACGGTTTCGGTTTTCTTTACTGGTAAAAAAAAACCGAAACTGAAATCGGAACATTTATTTGATAGTTTATTAAACCGGTACCGAATCGCAAAAACCTTTCGATCCGGGTCCCTGCTTGTAAGACAATTGTATTTTGTATTTCGCATTTCATGGAAGCGCGTAAATGTATTTTGTATCTTGTATTTCAAATATTGACAATCAATCTTATTACATATTTGAATTACAAAATAGAAAAAACTTTCAATCCTTTGATTTTAAATAGAAAACACATAATACTTTTATTGTGCCCCACTGAAATACAAAATACACTAGTATTGCAAATATTGTGTTTTAGATAAAAATATATATTTCTCTCCAATATATGCCCAGCCTGGATCAGAACCTGTCATAATTTATCATTTTACCTTAAAAAGCTGGAATCGGGAGATTTAGAATCGCGCACAATAAATTTCTGCGCAGATGCTCGGTGCTTGATATTGCTATGTAATGGCATATCAAAATAAATTTTTATTTCTGCAATTGCATAGTATTAACGTTTTGTTTTCTTTTCTATATTTTACTTTCTATATTATCCGATTTACTTTTATATGGTGCACGCGTGTGTATGAAAGACGCAAGCTACTTAAAGTTAGGGGTTCACTTAAAAGTAGAATGTATTATATCCAAGTGTTTCAGACCACCTGTACATTCTATATAAAAACGAGAGAAATGGTTATTTTGAAAAATGTTTCAGGCAAAAGTTGTTGGGAATCAAGTTCCCATTTAAAAAATTCAAATCGACCTTTGACATGATGTTCACGATGCCACTCAAGGTCAATCGCATATGCCCATGTAATGCATTACTTGATCCCCAACAACTTTTGTCTGAAACATTTTTGTCTTGAACTTGAGTATTTTAAGATATTTTCTACTGAATGGATAAAAATGGACTAGCCTGTATACTTATATATGTAATTACAATTACAATATTTAAACAGGAATACAGCGCCTTATTTGAAGGCGCGGGTAATAATCCTGGTGATAAGACCTTGGAAGACAAATTCTTCGAACACGAGGCAAGTGCATTTATTGTAAAATAAAAAAATATTTATAATATGCAAATTAATAATTTAATATTAATTTACACACGCGCACACGCACACACACGTACATATTCTATGTATATATATATATATACAGGGTGGGGAAAAAGTATGGAAGCAAACAATTATTTCC